TGCTACATGGGCTTCTGCCACAAGTAGCTAAGCTACAACAAGTCAACACAAAATGAGGAAAAGTCCACGATAAACATACCACAGCTTTCCATAGGCTGGACTGAAATTCCCAGAGGTATCCTTTAGAGATAAGAACAACACCTCAAGGGTTGCAGCTTCTACAGTACCAAGACTCTCTCCTGCATGGGCGAGCTGTGCATCCCTCAGCCTACACTGGAGGGTATACGCTGCGTGTCCTCAGTCTCACAGCACTAGTCCAAATTATGTTCATGTATTGTACCTCTCAGAGCATTTTCCCAGGTTTCTTCCTATTTCCTGTTCTGTTTCATGCCACTGTGATACTGCCATACTCTGGGCTAGCTTACACCTTTCATTCCTCTAGACCAATATTCTTTCTACTTGGATGAGTTGCGGCTCTTGTTTCATCAAAGCAAGTTATTCAAGCATTCATGGTGGGAATTTTGTCTCATTCCTTCCTCAAAGCACGACCTCCATTCTTCTAGAGAGAATCCCAGTCATTTCTTCTTTCTGTATATAACAGTTCTGTGCTATATGACAATACTTTTGTCAAATACAACTTCATTTACTGATAATTCTAATTATCTTCTTACTGGAAAAGTCACTGGCTGACATTATGGAAATATTTGTCCACTCTAACCAAAATTAATGAGTATTCATTTCTAAGATTTCTTTAATTTGTTATTGTCCATTAGACTTGCAGTGATGCCCAGCCTGTTGGCTCTGCAATGTGATGCTGTCTTCTATAAAATTCATGCTCAAGGATACGTAATTTAGTGACAAAGAAATTACAAACAATATCTCTAAGTTTTAAGTATGCTTCCAATTTTGTGTTGGGCTGCATTCCTAGCTGCCCTCAGCTACATGTGGTCCACAGGCTTCAGGATGGATAAGCCAGGGAGCAGTGTGAGAGAGAAACAGTATCAGCTCTGTTAACCACTGTATCTTCAGTGGCAATAAAGACTACTGCTGAGAGATGCTTAAAAGATGCTCAGATGAACACATGACTTGAGCTACATGATATGTGAGTTTAGATATGGTCATATACATTCCCAGTCCTTTGTGTCACGTGATGTGTAGGCTCATCTACTTCTCTATCACAGAACATATATGGCATACCAATCTCAAAAGCAATGAGCCAGTAAGTTCACCTAATTTATATGAGTGATATTTTATACCTTTCATATTAGCATTTTGGAAAACCAACCCCCTTAGGGTATTTTTCTTTCGCACATCCATCGCAAGCAGACAAGCCCTAAGTGGAAAGGTAAGTAGGAGCCCCCTTTACTGTTCAGCCATTTTGGTGTGTTCAGTACCCAGCTGCATGTGTGTAAAATGAAGATTTGAAGAATTACCCAAATGCCCTTTCCTTTCCTCATTCTGTGAGGTAGGCAAACCTTTTCACTCGACACTTTTACTGTCTTCCAGTTAATCAGTTAAACAATAAAAGGTTATAAAATGCTATAGAAATATTTGTAGAATATGGTGATTATAAAAACTTAATATGAAGTAATAAAATTCAAAAATGAGATGTTTCCAGGCAATTTCTCATACTGATCTCTCATCCCTTATCTTTGCTGTGTGAGCAGCTTTGAGAAGTTGTACCCATCCTACTTCTGGGGCTGACTTTAATTCAACAAGTTCTATTCCTGATACCACTGTCACTATCAACTTTCTGTTGTATGCAAGGAAGAAAAGGAAGTGTTGATTATTGCTTGCAATATTTAGGAGAAGAGTAGTAATGATGAAAATGCAAATGTTTACAGATACTTGGTCACTCCATGGTATCTGTACTATGTCCTTCCATAAAATCCCAAGAAGGATCATGTTATCAGCTCCATTTTTCACTGATAAAAATGAGGATTGAGAAAATAATTTTCTACATTTATAAGTGAGAGAAGCAGCATTTTTACTTCACATGTCTATGGTCTTAAAAATCTTTGGAATGGTTGTTCACTTGGCTTATGATTAAGTACATTTTTATTTATGACATAAAAACTACCAAATGAAACTAATACATACCTCACATAGAGAACAAATGACAGCATTGTAGGAGACTCACAGGGCTCCTACAATACACATTTTCTAGAATATTAAGTTTTATATATATATATATCATATGTTATATCCCCCAATTACAAGAAGCATGTGCCATAAAATGATAATGAGAAATAAAAGGTATCTCTTTTGCTCATTTATTAGTGATTCAAAATTATATAAAAGGCTTATGATCAACATAAACATATTTACTAATTAGCTTCATAAAGAAAGTGATATTTCTGTTAAGTAGCATAGGCAGAATGTGGGCACAAATATAGGATCATAAAACTTCAGGAACACTGGAGTCCACACACATATAGGCTTATACTATATATATATATATAATACTATACATATTATATATAAAGATATGCTTCACTACCTGTAAAATGTTAATTCTTTGAAATTTATATGTCTCAATAATAGGCAAAACAAATATCTGATTTAGTACCCAGTTAGGTTATTATTATTCAAAGAGACTTGTTCACTGTACTCAGAGTCATGAGCAATAGCAAAGGGTGCAGCAGGAAAAGAATCCATTGAAAAGCACCTTACTCCCTTTTTCCTCCACTTCCTGAGTCCAGAGTGTTGCTGAGATATGTTTTCTGTTCCGTGATAGCAGATGGCACATAGTGTGTGGAGCAGAGAAAGCCCCTGAGTGAGTGGCCATGGAATCTGAGAGGGACACAAACATGTTAGAGAGAGCAATCAACTCATGGGAAACTGGCTAAGCTGTTACCCATATGGGCTTAGCTCTAGATGAATGGCTAGGCTTTCCTCAGGGAGTGTGAGTATGCGTGTTTATGAAAAATTGATCAGTATGCACAGACTCACAGCCATGGCTTCCTCCTCCCAGATGTCTACAGACAGAGCCTGCCTGCTTACAGAGACCATGGAGTCTAACCAGCCCTGGGATCATATCTAATAAACATGATGAGGTCCAGGTTGGTAAGTGGTAGGAAACCCCAACCTGATTCCAGCTTCGCCATGTGTGCACATGCATGTTTGCCTTTTCTTTAATCCCTCCACACCCCGGGGCTGGGTACCAGAACCAAGCCACATGGGCCTTGGAAGCAACATTGTTATATAAAGCAGGGAATGTCTACTGTCAAACTTGCAAACTGAAATTCCTGAATCAGGAGATTTTTAACTTTGCTCAAAGAGGGAAGGTGAGACTTAGTTGAGTGCCATGGAAAAATTTCATATTGATGAAATAATAATTTCCAGAGATGAACACACAGCTCCTATGGATGTTTATAAACATCCTGCCAAGTTTTCAATCATATATCATTTCTCAATATTGAATCCTACCTTTTACCAGAAGCAAAACAACCGTGTTGCCTAGCATTTTATGAGAAGACAGTGGTTTATGCATTCATCGATCATGTTTTAATCATGGGCATCAGTAGTAACACAGTGTCAAAGCAAAAAGCAATATCGGGAAAGTCTGATCCTAGCATTGTGTTTGGCCTCTGAATACACAAATATGCACTCAATTTCACAGGGAATAAGTCAATAATATGAGATTTTATGTTTGCAGAGAGGGTGGCTTAGTGCTTAGATTTGTATATGGGAGACATGGAATTTACAGTTTTTTCTGTTAAAACTCTGCATAAAGCAGTAACTTATAAGTAGAAGGCAATTCCATATACAGGTGCCTAACTACCACAATTAATGAAATAACTAAATATTATCACATAAACATGTGACAAAATAACTTTTTACCTCCTACATCTGAGAGACTCTTAAAATGTATTTTGAAATATTTCCATTCTAACTTACCCTGTTTTTTAAAAATCATAGTAACTGAATTAGAAGATGGCTAAAGCTATATGAAATTTTACAGATGTACATCTATTCTTATTACAGGTTACGATGGTCTGAAAGAGAATGGTTCCTATAGGCTCAAATATTTAAATGTGTAGTCACCAGGCCATGGAATTGTTTGGATTAGGAGGTGTGGCCTTGCTGGAGAGGGTATGTTGCTGGAAATGGGCCCTCTCTCTTCTCTCTCTTTCTCTCTCTCTGTCTCTCTCTGTCTCTCTCTCTCTCTCTCTCTCTTTCTCTCTCTCTGTCTCTCTGTCTCTCTCTCTCCTCTCTTCGCTACTTATGGATCAGGATATAAAGCTCTCAGCTACTGCTTAGGTGCCATTCCTGTTGTGTGCTTCCTGTTGTAATGTTCATGGACTACTGTGAGAAAGTCCTCAGTTAAATGTCTGCCTTTATACGTTGCCTTGGTCAAGATATGTCTTCACCATGAACAGAACAGTAAATAAAGACAGGATCTCAGTATGTAACATTGGCTGACCTGGAAATCTCTTTATATATATCAGACTGGCCTTCAAATCTTACTGGTCCACCTACCTCTGCCTCCTAAGTGCTGTGATTAAAGGGACATTCCACAATGTCTGGCTTAATCATTTTCGTATCAACCTAATTTAGAAGGTACTCAAAAATAAGTGTCTAGATCCTAGGCAATCCATCTTCATGGCATTTTATATTAATCATCTAAAAATGTCAAGTTTGAACATATACAAAAAAATCCTTACTTACTTTAAAATACACACAATGACCAATGTCCATAAGGAATTTATAAACTTCCACGTCATATATAATTCTACTGTCCATGGGCCGCCCCTCCCATTTTACCACGTAAGAAAAGCCTTATTTTAATAAATTAAAATATCAAAACTCTTGACATTAAATGACTCAATAAATAAGTATACGAACTGAGTTCGGCTAAGGTAACCGTCCATACATATGTGACTGCTTGCAATCAGTGTGGCCAATCAAGTGATCTGCATGGCTCAACACAGAGTGCCTTTGAACACAGTGTCTGCACACAATCTTGGTCCCAGTCAATGAAAAAAAAAAAAAGAAAAGAAAGAAAACCACATGGTTTTCTCTAGTGCTGAAATACAGTGGGGTTTTGTGTCTCTTACCTTTGCCATGGCTTCTCCCATCCTCCAGGAGTGGCACAACAATAGTGTTGTTCACATTTCCAGGTGACCTGACGGCTGTGTAGACAACCGGCACCGACTGTACCACCACAGGGATGCGATGAACATGACTGAGTTTGTTAGACTGTAAGTTCATGGGACTGGAAGGTGGGACAGGATGAATGATGTGTAGAAACTGCTGGCCGCCCACGCCAGAGGCAGAGGCAACGAGGGGTCCTGGAGATAACACTGTTGACGAAGACGATGCTGAAGATACTGATGTTATAACGGTGGGGGATGAGGCTGGACGGCTAGAAGATGAGGAGGAGGTTGAAGTTGAAGAAGGTGAGGAGGCAGACGCTGTCATGGAGACTGGGGAGGATGAAACGGCGGTAGGGGAGGTCCTGGCTTTGTTGATTGACAAGTCCACTGGCTCAGTTTGTGTCTGGAAGTGATCTACAGGCAATGAGTCCTCTGGGGGCTCCCCTTTCACATTATTTAGCAACAGGGGAACAGCTTCCATATCGGGGTAGTTGTGGACGTTTGGAGACTGCAAGGAGAAAATGGAACAGATTTATCATTATTAATGATATGTTTCAATAGATGCATGATTTCTTATTTGAAAGTGTATTAATGTTTCCTTATTGCAATGGGGCATTCTTTTATTCACTCAAACATTTGCAAAAATTTCATTAAGTCACCATGATGGACATTTCCGTTCCACTGGGAGGACAAATACACAACCTCTTAAGCTAAATTCCCTGTTTATACAAGAGGCCACTGGAATTTTTAAAATGATCAGTAAATTCATGTTGAATTTTCAAAAGACAAGCTTAGGGTGTAAAGCTTCATCTTAGAATTGTATAAACAAGACTGGTTTAATTAAAGCATCCCCTTTGTTATTCTGCCCCCCCCCGCCCCCCGCACTGGGGGTGGTTTTCAGTGCTTTCTTAGGAAGGAACTGGGAGTTTTCATCAGATGAGCTGAAACAGCTCCGGCTGTGGAGTTGTGCAATGTCATGAATGATTCTCCCCTTGTGCAACATGATCTGGAGCTAGAGCCAAAACATCATCCAGCAGCAATCATGGGAAACTTGCTGTGACCTTTCTACATTCGTGTTGGGCACCAGAGCTCCTAAGACACACTCATTCAGAGACGCCACAAGAACTCTCTAGTCTCCCAGGACGGCTCGTCAAGCTAGCAATCATCTGGCATCGTTGAATTATGACTCTCGGTGCCCGACAAGGTGTTTTTTCCATTAAGATCTCACTCATAATTATGACACTGAAACCCAAGGAAAGTTTTCAGAAAAATCTTACATAAGAAAGTTTAAATTGTCTTTTGACTTTTTGTCTAACTTAAAATGATAATTTTGTTTAAGTTCATTTGTATTCTTTAAGTTTTAATGAGAAAAATTTAATAATGAACACTACCATTCTCAGCATAGTATTAATGGGCATGCATACACTTTTCTTAATTCCTAAGTTGGAAAAGTATTTATGAAATTCACCCTTCCGGGACTAAGGGGTCCATGTTCTACTGGAGTGTGTCAGTAGAGCCTCGACAGAGAGAACCAGCCCACAGCAGATTATTGGGTTATATCTAATTTAACCAAAGCAACACTCATATTAGTATTATTCTGTTAGATGAAAACCCCAAATCACTATTTTTGGCTATTTTGTGGCTTCAGAACAACAGTTGTGTTAAATTGGTCACTTTATTCTTCATTTCAGGAAATATTTTCATCCGCTATTCTTTCTGAAAGAATAGAAATGCATTTAAAGTTTTTTTTAAATAACATTCTTCTTAAAAACTTTCATTATAGAATATAAATTTTAGTTCTATTCAAAACTTATAATAGGCAGTAGTGTGGAGGCGTTGTATTCAGCCACAATGAAAAGAGAGACAAAACAAAACAACAGTGGGACCAGGGCACATGGAAGGAAAATGGGCTGATGTTTTAATGCCTTTTCCCTATTCCTGGCTAATAGCTGCCCGCAAAAGCATATGAATTAGAAACATAAAGGCCAAATGATCTATAATGCTTCCTGTATGGAATCCTAACTAGGATTTGCACTTTAGGTATTAAAGCAAGGAACACTTTTATAAGCCATCCCAAACACATTAGGAAACAAACAAACACCAAAACACCATAAATTATACCACTCTTGTGCAAATTTGTCGACATTATCACTCCTCCTATTAGAGCGGTATGGTTAGTTTATTCCTAGCATCATCATTAAGGCTTTGTTCTAGAAGAATAATGTGAGTTGTCTCTGCACAGTATTTTATACGTGCATAGAAAAGTCCTGGATATTGCTTTCCTCCCAGTTAGTAACTGATTCATAATCCAAAAGTTGAACCATTAAACACACTGTTAAACAGTACCAATCTCTTTGGGTGGTTACATAGTAGACAAACTAGAGACTCTTACTTTGGAGACAGTGGTTATTTCTATCTTATGTAGGAACAGACTTTGACAAATAGAGGGTGGAGGAGCAGTTCAGATCTGTGGAAGCAGTTCCTAATGGAAATGAAATATCGCATTGGCAGATGATGACAAGGGGATCGGGATACATGGAGTTTATGTAAAGAGGTGGCTTCCAAGGCATTAATAAGCTTTATGAGATACCCCAACTGCTTTGTATTGTGAACAAGAGCTCATCACTAGCGTGGCACTCTCTATTTCCCAGCTGAGGAAAACACTTCTTCCATAACCATGGGACAGCATCAGATAGTGACTCCCTCTCAGTCCCATTGGATAGACTAGAACGTTATAAAGACAAAACACACAGAACCCCTAACTCCTCCCAGATGCCCAAGAATTCAACCGCTATTCTCCTGTGTTCTGAATCTTTGGATCAAACAGTAGGGGCCTTGGAAAATGGTGCATGAATTTTTATATGATGGCTACTCTCTAATATACAGCAGTTAAAATGAAGCCAGTATATTAAATAATTATGCCCCATCTATATCAAAACAATGACATCTTTATTTTACCCTTCATCTGCTTTCACTGTCAATAGGGCATCTTATCCCAAATGCTTTTACTAATCCCTTGAGACACACAATGTGGCAGGTAAAGCTGTTCACACTTCTAGCCTTGGACAGCACAAACCTATTTGTAAAGTCAGCAGTGTTACAAGATAAGGTCTCTAAATAGCTATGACACCTCTCCTTCCTCCTTTGAAGAAATGGGAAAGACCCACAAGGCTCAAACTTGGAATCATCATCAGGAATTCATTTCTTTGCTTCCCCAAAGTGGAAAATTGAAATGCATTCATTCTGAGGTTTGGATTCCTGTGTGGGAAGCTGGAAGGGGCTGCTGGGAAAACAGTTGGATGCCGAGAGGGAAAATAAGATGAGGGAAATAGAGAAGATGAAGAGAGTGCTGGAGGAGCAAAGGAAGAATGGAAGATAGGCAGACCTGGAAGGGGAAGGAGCACCAAGAAGGCAACAGAAATGAACAAAGATGGGAAGCACTACACGCGATGCTTCTGATAAAAGAACAAAAGGAAGGATTGCATGGTGGAATTTCACCCTTCAGCAACTGTTCACATCCATAGACATACACAGCAGTACCAACTAAGTAGTTTTTGTGGTCCTCCAGTGCCCAAAGATGATGGCTTGGGCAGCTGTCATGTAAGCTGAATTTCACTATTGATTGCCTTGGTATGGAAGATAGAACTCTTCCTTATGTTCTCACCGGAGCACAAAATCCAACTTCCTAATGCCAACGGGGCTGTATGGGAGTAGTGAATTTTTGTCAAAGAGGAATGTAATTTCATTTTCCAGAAAGTTATATAACGGCCCTCGGAAGGATCCACTATAAAATTTCAACTTTTTAATAATGTTCTAGGAAATTTAAGATGTAAGAGCTAGTTAGGAATATGCCTAAGAAATTTGCCAAAAAGTGTTGTAATTAATATAGTTTCTGAAACAAAGGGGAGGTGACACCAATAACTAAGGTTGTTCTATAAAGCCCACATCTCTTCATGGCAAGAATGCATGTACATACACACACAGTACACTACAGTGGTGGGGTGTAAGACCCTACAAAAGGTGAGGAAGCGCCACCTTTCCCCGCCTATCCCTAGAAAAATGCCTCAGGTAACAGTGCCAGCCTTTTCAGAAGCCCCAGCTATGTGTCATGTCACCTTATTACAAACATCAGGAAAATTCTTTCATATAAACAAACATTTGAGCCCCCCTTTTTTGGCTGCCAGGTAATATAAGTTCAGATTTATACAAGTTTAGGGATCAGAGAGGGTGATAATGTTTCAACTTTAAAAGTTATCTTTTCCACATGTAGTATTTATTATTGATTTATTTTAAGTGTACGTGTGTGTTGTATGCATGCATGTGAGCGTGCATGTGTGTGTGTGCTTGTGTGTATGCTTGCAGTGGTTCTGGATATCAGAAGACAAGTAAGGTCTCCTCTTTTGTCGGTTCTGGGGATTAAGTGCTTTAACTTGCTGAGCCATCTCACTCAGTAGGAGTCTTGAGTGTCACGATGCCATACTTTGGCTCATAGTAGCCACAGGGCACACAGTTGCACATGATCAACACTGTACATAGAATGATACTCTACTCACTGCATCCATGTAAGAACACAGTAGACCAGACTGGAGCCCAGGGAAGAGAGAAGCAATAGAAACACAGTAAGAAAGTACAGCTGTATCCCATCGCGAAGAATTTGTTTAATCAGGTGTAGCTTACAATGATGGAGGCAACCTCCCCTCGGTGTTCCTCTTGGCTAAAACACTTTATAGAAGAAGGACGGTAAAATGCCAACAGCAGGGTAGCTTGATAGTTGTCAGTAAAGTACTTGGTGGACATGCAGGTATCAGATGTTCACTTATAATCTTAGCACGGGGGGAAGCCGAAGCAGCCAGCCTGACTGCTCAGTGAGTCCCAGTCTAGTGAGAAAATCTGTTTCATAAAAGTGGATTAGGTGGATACTGCATGAGGAACTGAGGTTGCCCTTGGGCCTTGATATACATTAGCAAACATGTGAGCAACCGTACATGCACCAGTATACACACACACACACACACACACACACACACACACACAGTAGCAGCAAAGCTAACAAGGAAATTTAAAACACTGTTGTGTTGCAGGATGAGATTCTAAATGGAGACAGATATATTATCAAACTAGCTTGCAAAAGTCTTAGTACACATGTAAATATTTCTGAAGCATCTAGTTCATGCCATTTCCTCTCCATTCCCTCTCCTCCCCTTTGAAGCATAAAGGAAGTGACTTTACATTCATAGGTCATTCTAATATAAAAATACAATATTGTTTGGACTTGATACCCTCAAACTAATTCCACTGTGGACTTTAAAGGCTTACCAATGAGAATATGTTTTTAAAACTAAATATAAAAGCACAAAACAAAACAACAACAGAGAAAAGTTGAGGTCAAGGGAAGACAACAGATTCAGTCAGGAAACTTGTGGAATGAGCCCAAGGGGTCAGGTACCACCACAGTCAAGAAGCTTTTTAAAGAGAGCTGGTGTGTTTGGAAGAAAACACATACGGCAA